TAATCAGGACTATTACCAAGCAATATCTTTCTAACAATTTTTGAATTTTTGAAATCGCCTCAGAATTTTTCGCTAAAATGTGGGCAAAAATCTTTACACTTTTCAACTAAATACAAAGAAACGGCCTGGTCAATCCTTGCGCAAAACTAATTTCAAGTTACACCGAATACGAAAGGCTTCTAAATTTTTGAAATCGGTTTAGCCGGATTTTTTGTGAAACATATACTTCTCCTTCGGACAATTGATTTGAAACATATATTGATTAAATGACAATAAATAAACACAAAATTGATTGAATGACTTGAAACAAATAACAAAATAAAATTGTCAAGGTAGATTTTCTTGTGAGAACATATACTTCTCCTTCGGAAAAGCAATTAATTAAAATTAACAAAATAAAGTTTTCTCATATATATCATATGAATAGCGATTAGATCTTAAGTCGGATCTCATAAGTTGTTATAATTTTTTACAGATTTATCATAATATTTTAGAGATGGGACCTCTAATTAGAATCTCATAGCTTTAACCACGCGAAGCCCCAACTAAATAAAGGTATAGATTAGAATATTCAATTTGAGTTAACGGATTTATAGGTGATTCATAATTGTTTTTCAGTGAGGTTTAATATTAAATTATTTGGTCTGTCGTATTTTTGTTTGACGTCGTACGGTTTGAGCTAACTTTGTTTTGGCTTATAAATCATTTCTAGGAAAATTGTGTACAATGAAAAAATATAAAACAATAAAATATCGAACATATAGCTTTTGTATTTACCCTATATGGTTATTTTAACAGTATTAGTTAGCTAATACAAACAAACTGGTTTACTCATTCTGGTGCATGTTGCGTTAATAGTATTCGCAGTATTAATACGTTTTCTTGCCTCATATGCGCAGCGTGCATATAGAATTGGAAAAAATGCATATAAATTTGCAGAAGGCAGTTTTTACCAGTCTAAATTCTTCTAAATTTACATTTTCTTGTAAGTTCGATCATATTCTTAACAATTACTACAACAAATGCCGTCCGAACATCGTCTTTCGTACTACCGGTCAAATGACCGGTCGCGGTAGGTAAGACAGTATACAATTTTTTTTCCAAAAATAAAAATTGAAAAAACAAATTAACAATAAAATACGTATCATACTCATAAATTAGGAATAGTCATGAAGTTTGATGACGATTCAATTACGTTTGATATAAAAAATACTAATCGAAAAATCAAAAACGGTCATTTGACCGGTCCCGGTAGGAATAGTATCCCCCCTTCTCCGAATTAACATTGCGTATTTTTTTATTATTAAAAAAATATTAAATTTTTTGAAAAATTTTGAAATATTTTTTAAATTCAAATAAAAAATTAATGCACGTGATATCTTACCAGAAACCCTCTGTTCACGTGATTAATAGACGTCCTCTTTGCAGGAAACTATAATTTTTAGTTTACGTAGGGTAAGTTATTGTAATCGTCCAAAAATCGAAATTGAAAATTCTTGCATTTCTCGACGTTTTGAAGGTTTTGAACATTTTGGCATACTTAAGAAAAAATGGATGTGTGTTTGTGTGTTTTGTGTGTTTTGTGTGTCCGCATTTTTTCGTTCACGTTTCGGGCACGCGGATCAACCGATTTGAATCGTTCAAAAAACATTCAATTCTTATTGATAGGGAGATGTGCTGATTAGTTTTTGGCAAAGGCAGGTCCAACAATTACGGAGATAAAAACAAAAGAGTGCAGAAAATTTTCAATTTTTTTGTGTATCGAAAATAATTCAGATTTCAATTTCAATTCTGGCTAAAGTTTTAAAGCTCACTTTAAAACTATATACTTTAAATAAATATTTTTGACTTTGTGATTCACTTTATATCATTCTTATGAATATTAGACAATGTTACAGTATTTCTAATAATCTATTTGAAAACATTTAATATTTCTCGAACATTTCGTTACGGTACGGGAAGTTCCAACAATTTGCCTTATGTTTTTGTTTTTTTATTTTTGCCAAATTATGTCGATCGGTTAGTATATAATACGTGAATTTTGGTCAATCTCCGCACAGAAATGAACCCAAAGTCCGAACCCAGTTGCGATATTAGTCAACCTTATTGGCATACATTATGGATTGAGAAAAGTTTCATTGGGGATCAAGATTTGGCACACACATTGAAAATATTTTGATAATAGGTCAAAAATTTGGTAAATGGGTTGAACACCGTTCGATCAAATTTGGCAAATGGGTTAGAAATGGAACGTGAATAAATTTTTTTAATAAATTAAATAATCTGAAATGAATATTTAATGAATTAAAAATGTAATTCTAGATTAAAATAATATTTATTTTCATGGTAAAAAAAATCGAAGCATTTTACAATAATATTTTATCAAAATGCTATTATATGAAAATCTTACTATATACAAGTATATAATAAACTTAAACTAATAAAATAATACAATAAACCTAATAAAATAATACAATGAAAAACCTAACTATAATATTACAATAAACTTAACTAAATATTACAATAAACTTAACTAAATATTACAATAAACTTAAATATTCCAATAAACTTAACTGAACTTAAAAACTAATCCTTTCTTCTGGTCTTCTCTTCGATCCTTGGTCCTGTGCGTGACGCCATTCTCTAATGTAGTTTCCTACCTGAGCCTCCGACACTTTAATTTCCTTAAAAACCAGTTCAGCTTCAATCTCTGAAATCATTGTTGGTTTAAAAAATTAATACAAATATTTTAGGTAAAGAGTTTCATTATTTACTATTATAAGAACATCATTATTACCTTTTATCAATTTAACAAACAGCAGTACTGAAAAATTCTTCTTTCCTTTGCTCCCGGCCCAGCTGTACTCTTTGGCAACTTGGCAACCACATCAGTAAATATAGTCTTGTATAATGAAACAGTTGCCACTCTTGGACAATGCCCGCCAATACGCGCAAGCCGTGTTTTCTTAAAATAAAAACAGCATATCATTAGTACATACTCATTATACCATCCATTTTGAATAAATATATATTTACCAAACTCCGTTTTGTTGTCAGTTCTAAGGAACTCCTCAAATTTAACTAATATTTCGTCATTTGCCAGCGGCAACAATCTAAACAGGTCTTCACAATTGTCAACATCCTCTTCGTTACTCTGCAGCGGTTTGTTAACCACTAAATTGAGAAATTCAGTAATCCGCTGCAATTGCATTTGCATCCTCGATATGCTTTTCGTTGTTTCCTCTTCGCTTTTTGTTATTCTCCTGTTGACATCCTCTTGAGAATGTGCATTTGTTAAACTCTTATTATTTACATAACATATTTTTAAATCATGTTAGTAGCAACTTACCAATTTATGCTGCATTTGCAATTCAATCCTCGCCATGCTCCTTTTAGTTTCCTCCTGGATTCGTTCTTGAGCATCTGCATTGGTTAAACTCTTCATAATATATATTTACATTGCTAGATGTGTTAAATTGCCATATATATAGTTTAAATATCTGAACGGAACCAAATTTTGTATGACAATGCCCTTTATCTAAATATGCATCGTTTCTGTATGTATCCAAAACATAAAATAATGTTTATGAATCCATATAATCAGGTCCGGTCCTGCCTTGCATGCGATGCATGCAAAAAATGCGGGCGCACGCCTTAGGGGGCGCCAAAACGATTCGGAAATGAAATTTTTAATATATTATTCATATTTTTTCTTAATATAAAATCTAGAATACTTAATAGATTACAATAAACAATCTAACTTAACTATGGATACGTAGACACAGTGATATCAGTAGAAACAATTCATTACTCTGCAAATTAGTAAAATATTATTCTATTTATTGTACTTATTAATTTTTTCTTCGTTTGAAGTTAATGTGGAATCGAAAAAGAAATTATTTAGTGTTCAATCCCGTAAGCGCAAACCTATGAAAGTTTAAATTATTGGGAATTATTGACGAAAAATTGCGAGCTGATTTAGTTAGAACGGAACTTGTTGAAAAAAATAGATCCAAATTATAATAGAGGAAAATGGAAAATAGGAAGTCAGCGCATAGAAAATGGCTTATTAAGCCTGAGAAACTAAATAGTAAATTTTGTTTTTGTTGAAAGTTATTCGCATCTGATGAACTTTGGTTTTTGCGTGGTAAGGTTTATAGAAATGGAGCAAATATGAAAAATGGAAGCAAAATGTACTTAGAAACAAAAATCGTGAGCTTTTTTAAACCTAGTGGCGTTCATACTAAATTTAATTATTAACTAAGTAGAAATAGTACAGATACAAATATAATTATGTTTTGTTTTCAATATAGTTCAGGAAATATGTAATTTTTTGCATCTTTTAAAATACGTTAAAAATTTAACTTAAAAGCAACAATCTGATGTTCTGAATCAGATGGGAAAGTAAATATGAATACAATTCGGTCTTTACGATATCAATAAGAAGAAGTTTACGATTAAAATAAAAATTAAATTAAATTAAATTGAAATAAAATTTAAAAAATCCAACATGAAAAACAAGTGTTATGTTTAAAAATGAAATAAGTAAAATGTTTCAAAACCCAAATATTAATATTACACATATGTTAGAAATACTTGAAAATGTATCGAATAGCCTCGATTTTCTAAATAAATTTGAAATCAATGTATTTTATACGCTTTTAGATTATATATAATTTTTTGTGTACTAAATTCAGAATGATTAAAAATGAATTTAAAAGATTTAAAAAATTATAGGGGGGGGGGCGCTAGAACCAATCTTGCATGCGGGCGCTGAGGACCCCAGGACCGGCCCTGCATATAATCATGGATCAATAAGCATATAATATGTTATAAGAAGTTTGAAATGAAATCGATTCATTTGTGCTTAAACATACATCTAGATGGCGAAAACATTTAATAATTTTGACGTTTAAATCAAATACTAACTAACATTCAATTTGACAGCAGCGTGTACGCGGCTTATTAACGTTTAAATAATAATCGCAAATAATTCAGAGTATAATGCTTTATATACGCGGTAAACGAAAATTATTTTTTAATAATTATAATATAATATTGTTTCTATTAATTCTCTACGTATCTCTAAGTAATTGCACTTTATCACCTACTAAAACTAAAGATAAAAAAATAAGGGATGTTAAGAGAGGACCATTAGATATAAGTGTTTTTGATAGAAATTTAATAAGTGATAAACCTAATTCAAAAGATATATTACGTGAAAATCAAGCCTATTTTGAAAATACAAACGTGAGAAACTTCAATGGATCAATTCTAGGTTATGTTACTCCTGTAAGTAATATTTATTTATATTGCAATTTAGTTGATTGGTAAAAATTATTAAGTTTTATGAATTACATTTCTATTTTAATTTATTTATTAATATATATGATACAACAAAATGAAAATATGACAGTAATCATATTCTACTGTATTGTGAGGATACTCCTTTTCTTCAAAATTAATGTGTCTTATGAAAGTTAAACTTGATACAAGTTCAAAAAATGCTTTTATTTCTTATCTTATTAGAATCTTATAGCTCTGTATTTTTATTTTAGTGGAATGGACATGGATATGATGTGGCAAAAATGTGGGCTGATAAATTTGCTTTTATCAGTCCAGTATGGTTGCAAATTAAAAAGGAATTAGAAGGAAAATATGTCGTAACTGGACAACATGACATAGATAAAAAATGGGTGGAAACTCTACGAAAATCTAAAGGTATTTTAAATATAAATTAATATCTATAACATACTTATCAAAAATTTAATATAAAATAAGTCTAGTTTGTATTAATTTCTACTTATGTGGCAAAGGTGCTTTAAAGTAATAGAGAGTAATGTAGTACAGTAGAACCTTGATTAACCGGACTAATTGTTGTCGATAGGCATCCGGTTAATCAAAAATACGGATAATCTAATGTATGAAGAATAATGAGGTGTATTTATCAAAAATAATAAATACATACATAGATATCAACAAAAATCAATTTTTTATAAGAAATTAAATTTTCCTTATGTATGTACATATATATTTTCTTAGATTATATTACATACTTATACTAAACTGCAGCATATATCGTGCAAAAATTCGAATTGTAGGTATGTACATACATATAACTCTATCGCGTTTGGTAGTCTAGGTAATCATGAATTAGAATAACTGAAGTCGATAATCAAAGTTCTACTGTTTGTTTATTTGCTGTAGTATTTTGAAGATAAATTATTATTATTTAAGTATTAAGTCTTTACCATTTGTACATATATTTTTAATCCAAAAAGTAATAAAAAACATAAAAAGTTTTTTAATAAATTATTTCTTTATTTATTTATTTACTGTCGACGTTTTGGAACTAGGTACGTTCCATCTTCAGGACATCTGTCAAGAAACATGATCTTGATAAGATTTAAGCAAATAATATGTTTAAGAAAAGAAGATGGATTTTTTAATTAATAAAATAGTGGATTATATAATCCATTCATTTATTTTTATCATTTTAATTTTGATCATATTATCATATTTCTGTACATTATTTTTTTTAACTATTTTATTAATTAAAAAATCTATAAGTTAAAAATATATAAGTTTAATATTTGTGTCTTTTATGTAAAAAAGTGTGACCAATATTTCACCACCATCAAATGGGATAAAAAATTTGCATCATATTTAAAAAAAATACTTGAACTCAACTCAATTACTATCTCTAATCTACTAATATGATTTGTAATGATTTAAATAATCTTGTTAATGCAGTTCAAGTTATTCCACGGGTGTTGTTTGAGAATTGGAATCAGGATGATATTACATCATTGGATAAACCAGGGGAATTAAAAGCATTAAGTGACGCATTATATAAAGTATGTGATGATAATAACTTCAATGGAATCGTGTTAGAATTATGGTTTCAATTCCTTGGACACATTCCCAACAAGAAAATGTCTCACATCATAAGAAAAATTTGTAAGTCGTATTCATACATTTATTTTATTATTTTATATGCTTATGTTTTGAATAGTTGTTCCATATTTTGATTAATAATTTTGTTTATTTAGGCTCACCATTTATAACAAACGATATGCAATGCATTGTTGTTGTTCCTCCTTTCCGTGGATCTAATCAACCTGATCTCTTTTCAAAATCAGATTTTGAATCTTTGTATAAACACGTTTCTGCATTTTCATTAATGACGTACGACTTCTCCAACCCTCAAAGACCAGGTAATTTTATATTTGTAAAGTTAATTGTATATATATACATGTAGAATTTTGAATTCACTTCAATTCGGATGATGCGAGTACTCGAATGAATCAATTGAATCAGGTGGCTTACATGATTTTATGCATTTTTTATTTAAATTTACTAGAATTGTTTTTTTATATCTATTAAGATTTATGTTTACATTTTATAATTTATGTTACAAGTTTATTTGAATTAAGTAAATTCGATTCAAATCAGGGGGCTTGATTTTAATGATTCGAATCACTTGATTTGAGTTGGCACATCACTAGTATATATATATACATAAATATATATCAGAAAATATTTATATGTATGCTCCTCTGATCAATTTTTTTCAATTTATAACAGGGCCAAATGCTCCAATTCCATGGATAAAAAAATGCATAGAACATTTAGTTCCTGACTCAGAGGACAAAGAAAAAAGAAAACTAATCCTCATGGGTATGAACATGTATGGTTATGCATATACACCTCAAGGAGGTGGTGCACTTTTGGCTCCTGATTACATTAATATGCTTGGATATCACAAAGGATCTTTAAAATATGACACAGAAGCACAAGAACACTTTTTCGAGGTCAAGTAAGTACACACTTGTATCTTTTATAAAGGATTTGTTAAAAGCTTTTGAAAATTATATATTCTATAGAAACAATAGTTTATAAAGTATTCAACATTGTTGAAAAATTTAATGATTGTGATCAACTTAAAAAGTTTAAAGATTTTTCATATAATTATATTTACTATCCATCTTGAGAGTTTCAAATGGAACACAATTGAATTATATTTTTTTAGAACGATAGTTATTGCATTCAGAAATTTTGACATCTATAATATTTGCCAAAAATTAAAGATCCACATTTTTACATATATAGAATTAGATTAATAATAAATCGAACAAGGGGAGATAGAGATCAGTTATATGAACCGAAAATCAGTTATATGAACTAGTCAAATAATATAGGTTTTATTATATCATTATAACGTTCTTACTTCTTAATATATCTATTTTAATAGCACAAACTAAAATTTTAAAATTTACACGTTCTATCTAATTGAATGTAAGCATTATTTTGATACCACATTATTTATACAGATTTTTCATACAAACAATTTAAATCGTGCTTTTAATACCTAATGTAAATAATTATTAATTTTGAAACATTCAAAAGTGAGACCGTGATACCTATCATATTCGAAAGTAAAAAATGTATATGTGGGTGTCTAAATTTACTTATGTTTTCAGAACTAGTGAAAGTCGGTTTGTAGTATTTTATCCAACATTGCATTCCATAAATACGAGGATTCAACTTGCGGCTGAGATGGGAGTTGGATTAGCATTATGGGAATTAGGACAAGGTTTAGATTATTTTTATGATTTATTTTAAAGTGTATCGAACTTGTTATGAAATTTAATAATAGACATATTTACATTTTTTTAAAATTTTTAATTTTAATTTAACTTCTTAAATAATTATATTATATTAACTTATAACAATCTTTGAACAACAAACAACATTGGTTTTTGGTTATCCTTGGGCCGCTGTCACCTTCCTATCGCTCGAACGCCCTTCAAACTTCATCATTGATTGCGGTACTTGCATTATGTTTATCATAAGTGACCAGCACATTTTGGCAGGTAGAAGGCTGAAAACATAACCATAATGAAAAAATATAGTGTGATATTTTATCTGATTTTGTTTCTAATAATAGCTTTTTAAAAATCATATCTTCAAATGAAGAAGCTTGCGTGGATTTGTTGTAAGCAGTGGCATTTCGCCGGCGGCCTCGTACTACAGTGGGCCTCGCAAAGTTTTTACTTATTTAAAATTTGTTTAATTTTTATAACCATTTGATTAGTAACTAATCCCAGTTACTCAAACATTAGTTTACTATAATTCGCTTTTTGTGTAATTCAACGTTTTCTTGACTGGGAGGAAGGGGACCTTTCAAACCCCAATTTTGTTAAAGCCCACGCGTGTTCTGCGGCTTCACTGGTTGTAGAAACTAGTCTTATTTATTACAAAACTATACTTTAGCTGCTGATGGAGATATTTATAATAAAACTAGATGACCCGACAGACGTTGTCCTGTACCCATGTCTACAATTTTTTATTATAATATACTAATATTTACCGCTTACCTAAAAATAATAATTGTTTCCTCATATCATGTTCATATGTGTATCATTCAATCTGCCATACATATACTGTATCTCATATTATTTTAATTTCTGGCACATCTCAGCTGCTTTTTGGCAATAATAATGTAGACATTTAATTTTTCTTATTCATAATCATAAGTTTATTAAACATATTTTAATATTGTCTAGGTTCATAAGTTAATTGAAATTTTTGGCAGATTTTGTTTTCATTTGCTTTCAATGCAAACAATGACATGTTGATTTTTGCAATTTTTTCCATTTATTTCTACAATATTGCACATACATCCCAGTACTTTATAATCACATACATCCTAGAAAATTTCCTTAACAAACTTCAGAAAGATTTATCAAAATCCGCATAATCGTTTAGAAGGAGTATACAGTGAGTGCTAGTAATTTAATATGAACTTTATATAATAGCAATAAAGCTCAAATTGATTCTACGTTTTAGTTAGAAAACGTTTGTATGAAAAAAGAAATGGGCAGTTTTTAGGGTTTTCTTGGCAATTATTCGATTTTTTCTCGTCGTAAGAACCATCCTTGGACATCAACGAACATTTTAAAAAGAAAATTGGCCAAATTGGTCTAGGCGTTGTTGAGTTATGCGCTTACCAACACATTTTGCGATTCATTTTTATATATAAGATAATAGTTACCATTTGAGGGGCAAGAGCGTGCGAACGATAGATGGTAGCGTGCAGTTGACTTCACGGTACTTCACGGCCCTCACAATGCGCTGGGCCACATATTCTGGTTTCAGCATTGGCCTGTAGCGTGGTTGCACACCGGCAAACATTCCTGTATCTATGTAATATGGGCATACTAGGGTGCAACTGATATCATCATGACCATGCGTCTAAAATAATTAAATTACATTAATAAATTTAAGATAAAAATAATGTATATATATATATATATATATATATATATATATATATACATATACACCTAAGTCTGTTTTTACACGGTCTTTTTGTACACGGTTTTGATATAAGACGGTTTGAAAATTGAATATTTTTAATTTTTTTACACGATTTTATTCCATTTAGCACGATTTGAAATTTTATGTACTTAAATTTTTTTGTCAAATTTAATTTTTGCGAAGTATGTTCATATCACAAAAAAGTATTTATGAAAGAAAAAAGTCTGAAACCATCGATAGTATCGATAGTTTGCGAATACTAACTTAAAGATTCAAGTGAATTCCCCTTTAGCGCGTACAAATAATTTTTACTGGTCAAAGCAAACGTGAATAGCACTAATTTAGGGGAATTCCCTTTATGTGCATACAATAAAATTTACTGGCTAGAATGCGAATAACTGATGACGACAGCAATTAAATTTATGTTGTTGTATTTATGATTATCATTTATTCTATTTTATTTTATTTTTTACCTTAAAAATTGAATAACCTATTCTTTTCGTTCACAACATAGTTTTTTAGTTCCTGAACTTGCGATACATTTAATTTATATTACTTTTAAGATTAGAGTGCATATCTTTTTTATCATTAATTACTATGCTTGTGAAAATAAGCATTATATATTTGATTTAATAAAATAAACATGAATTCTTGATCTTAAAAATTCTTGTTTTTCTCTAATTTTAATAGGTTTTAGAGATTAGGAACAAATCACCCATTTTTGTATAAGATCATTGTCTTTTTTTACACGTTTTTTTTTTACACGGCTTCTTCTGGAACCAATCTACCGTGTAAAAACAGACTTAGGTGTATATATATATATAAAGATAACATCCAAGTCTGATAAAAAAATGGAAGAAGTAATTAGATGATTATTGACATAGAAGAGTATATATTATTACTTAAGAAAATGAATTCTGCTCGAAATTCATAAGATCTTATTCACATATTACATATTATGATTTCTATATTCGTTACAATAGCGATATCGCTAGAACTAGTATTTCGTTAAATACAATTTTCATTTTGTTGGTGTATAAATTAGTAAATTGTTTGTGATGTCAATACAATGATATTATCATTATATTATTACTAATAATTTTTTCTTATCGTTAGATTGAATAACATGAAATAATTTTATGTTCAATCTTTTCTCATTGTTTCTTTCTATTTGTTTAATATACTTCATTCATAATAATCAATTTGTAACTATATCATCCTTTAGATATTTACCATTTTATTTGTTCTTTTTTATTCTTTTAACATTTAATTGAAGATTGGTTTTTATGATAATTTTTTTAAAATATTTTAAATAATAAATTATCACACAAATCTGAAAATTTTGTTAATGTATAATCATGTTTCATGTATAATCTAAAATGTGTTAACAAAATAATAAATATCGCTTGCTTTGTTGTAAAAATATAAATTTATAAAATGCCTTACAACTTATTAATTATATTAAAAATTTCGATACTAAATTTATACGAACATTACTCTATATATCATTAATATCATTTATTTTATTAATATATTTATTATGCAGCTCAGGCAATACGGCATACATTTGTCTGTAGGATAGACGGTCAGTTCTATCATATGTTAGCCCGACGTAATGTTATCAGTTTCATCAATTTTATATAGTTAGCCTGGTCTGGTATGTTATATTTTTTCAATTGTTTATTTATAGTTTTCATTTATAGTTTATAATAAAATTCTTATTGATTTATACAAACACTCAAACGAGAAATATTCTTAATATTCCTTCACGCACGTTTTCATTTATTGTCTAATATATCTCTATTTTGTTTTAAATAAATAAAATTTATTTAATTAGTATTTCAATGAATGAATAAAAAACTAACATTACCTTGAGCTCTGTGTACAAGCTCTCGTGAAAGCCGACGGCCGCGAATTTAGTTGCACTGTAGTCTGTGCATCCATATGTTCCCAGAAGACCCGTCAACGAGCCGACGGTCACCACGTGGCCGGATCCGCGCGTTATCATTCCTGGCAGGAATGCTTTCACCGTCTGTTAAAGGAATCCGTTACGTTAAATAATAGTCTACCTTCAATTTTGTCTATTGATTGTTTCATAGTAGAAATTGAAGTATTATAGAGTATTATAAATTCTTTGTATTGAATAAAATTAGTGTATCATTCCTAATGTTCAATTACTATCATTTTCTCGATATTTCAAGTTATTCTGAATCGTTTGAGACCAAAATTGGAGAAAAGTATATGTGTGTATGTATAAATGTGTATGCACGGCGGCCAAAATTTGGCCCTTCGTCGACGTATTCTATTCTAGAAGCGGTAGCAACGATTTAATAAAATTATGCCATTAAGGGGGTATTCTGGCCTAGACGTTTCAAGAATCGATTTTTTTATCACTATCAATCGATTTAACTATTTTTAAAAAATTCTAGGATATCAAAAAGTTGTGAAAAAAAATTCAACTTTTCCGTGGTTCATACGAATGCGACATTATTCTAGATTAATTTAATTTTCAGATTATTTGGAAGTATAGACACCTGGCAATTTTTACCCCCCCCCCACCTGCTAGAAATAAATCTGAATGACTTTTCGTTTTCAATTTTTATTTTTTTCCGTATTTTTGAATCATTAATTAATAACTTATAAAAATTTATAGTAAAAATATTGATTGCTTTTTTATGGTCTTTAAAAAACCATATAAAATTTTTGCCAAAATACCCGATTAATGAAACCCGATACGAATTAGCGTTGATCAGTTTTGCGAGACGATCGGCGGAGTTTCATTAGAATTATCAGAAAAGACCATTGATTCTGAACCGATTTTAAAGATTTGAAAACTGTTTGAAAGATCAGTTCAGAATCGTGCTGGTTAGTTTTTGTTAAAGATCGTTTCGAGTTTCATTAGAATTAGCAAAAAAATCCAAAATTTTTCGTACATGTTTTCGCTAATGATACTGAACCATTTTGAACAATTGAAAACTGTTTGAAAGATTAGTTGAGAATCGTGCTGGTTAGTTTTTGTTCAAGGTCGTTCGGACCGTTTCTTTGTACTCTGACAATTGTAATAAAACTTTATTTGGCATTCATATTTTGAACGAACCTCCTAAAATATCATAGGCAAACAACAAGAGGTGTTCTAACCGCGTGTCCGCGCGCTATAATTATTACAATATCTGTACATTGACATTATTATAAATTTGTTCGAAAGATATCAATTGCAAATCGCATGGATCAGTTTTTAGTGAAAGCGAAAATTTCGGAATAAATAATTAAAATTTTGATTTAAATATGTAAATCTTAATTCTTGTTTATAAAATCGTTTATGTACACATATCGGAAAGTTCATACTACAACTTGCCTTAAGGCGAAATGCCAGTTACTACTAGTATATTTATTATGTCATAAGAATATACATCAAACTTTTCCTGAGTAATTCAACAATATTTTTCGTGTTTCATTGTTGAGACTTTAATAAGTAATGATATTCAAAGCTTTTGCTTTTAGATTGTCAGATACACCGGACTCGATAAGCAAAAAATCCATTAGATTAAATAAATATGTATATATGCGTACCCCCTATCAGCTGAAAATATGTATCCGGTTCAGATAACGTTTGAAAATATTTTAAATAAATATATTGAGTTCGAAATAACACTAATAAGCTTATTCAAGCATACTTGGCAAAGAGATCAAGTTAAATAATTCTTTGAAGTAATGGCTGTGTTCAATATAATTGTTTTATTTAGCACAACTTGGTATGCTAACAAACCAGTATATTTATAGTACTTTTTTACATATATAATAAAAGTATTACCCAGTAATTAGATAAAATATTGACATCGTAGGTTCTTTCAATAGCAGAGTCTGGGATTTCGAGTAGCGGCCGGCAAGTGACTATGGCCGCATTGTTGACTAGTATGTCCAATCGTCCATCAGGCGCGTTTAGCAAACGCTCCGCTTCACGATATACTGCTTCTCGATCAGTAACATCGCAAACGTTAGTTTGCACTTTGTATCCTTCATGTGCCAAAGATTCAACGGTCTCTTCTAATCCTATTTGATAAATATATGATTAACATATATTCTAATTTATTAGGTTCTATGTAAGATGGTTGTGCGAAGTGCTAAGAAGAAAATATATTAAAGGTAAAATTTTCATTTGGGGCTTCAAATTTTGAATAAATTATATTCACTCGTTGCTTTTTATAGAATACTAACAAAAAACAACTAAATCTTAATCTTAAAATGAATTTTTTAATTGTATGGATTTATTCTTCTATATATAGTTATATATTATTGTGTGCTCGTAAATCAAAATAATAGTTAAGATACAACTTATGTACCTGTCTTGTTTATATCCCACAAGACGACTTTAGAGCCTTTCTTGGCAAACTCCTTGGCGAGCTGTCTGCCAACTCCGCCACTACCACCTGTGATGAGTACGACTTTGTCTTTTAAATTGACTCCTGGTCTCAGGCTATCTGGTAAAATGGTCAAAAACAACGATTCGCAAATATACCACACGGACCAGGCTAGAAATACTAATACGTCACGGACTGCTTCCCATATCGTTTCAGGTATGGGCGGAATTCGGTGCGATGGATACATTTCTGTAATAAGGTAATTGTACATGAATGATATTTATATTAGTAAGTTACTTATATTTTAACGGCTTATTACTTTTCAAAATAATATAATTTATCGGTTTAACCTTTTTCAAAGCTACAAGCACAATTACTCACATGCAAACTTTTGTGATGAAGCAATTAGAATAGTTTAAAAATTGTTCATTTTTAAAATATCATCTAATTTAAACAAATCTTCAATCATTTTTCATTGAAGCTCTGTCAAACACAATAATTCAAAGTTTCTAAAGAAATTTCATAGTGTTCTTTGAGTATTTGTGCGTATATGAGTTTTAATTATTAATAATTAACGAAAAGAATCACATTATAATAAGGCCATTTTTTATTAAATATAGTTGTCTTCGAGGACGATATACTGCTTATAGCGAACTTCCAACTTTTCGATATTATTATTTGCAGTACCATTTGCCCTAAAATTCGGCGATCACCTCTTCATTCGACGAAAATTTTTTCACAGCGAAGCCATCCTATTGAGATTTGAGAATAGGTTATGGTCGCGGGGGGGCAGATCTAAGAATATGGTGGGTGGGGAAGCAATTCGTAAGCCAATTCATATATTTTTGCTATTGTTTTTACTGATTTTTGACAGTGTGCATTGTCTTGACGAAACAACACTTTTTTCATCTACAAATGGGGTCGTTTTTCGCGATTTTGACCTTTAAACGCTTAAAAAACGTTATATACACTGTTGGTTTGGCCTTTGTGGTGAATATGACGATGAATATTATTTCTTACGAATCCTGATAAACTAACGCAATGACCATGCCAGCTGATCGCTTGCATTTGTTCTCGTTAATCGCGTCGAGAGCACTCGGCTGACTATTGGACCCCGGAGAATAGTGGTCATATCCATGGTAACATATCGATGCAAAAACTCAGTTTTATTTTGATTAGACAGCTCCAAACACTCTACCATCATCAACTCGTTTAATTTTAGTCAAATGTGAGCTTGCGCGTTAAATTTAAACGTAGCGTTTGAAGGTCGGTACTAACTAAAAATTATATGAATTTAATACTATTGGCACCCTCTCACAAAAAACAGAACGAAATTTTTAGCCGGGCTGGTATAATAATTATTTGTTAATTTAATAACTTCCCGTAGGGCAAGTTATAGTAATCGCAAAAAAATCGAAAATGAAAATTTTTGCATTTCTCGACGTTTCAAAGGTTTCTGAATATTTTGGCATACCTTAGAAAAAATGGATGTATGTGTGTGTGTGTGTGTGTGTGTGTGTGTGCGTGTGTGTATGTATGTGCGGATACAAATTTTCGTCGACGATTTCGGGAACACCGATCAACCGATTTGAATAATTCAAAAAACATTCGATTCGTATTGATAAGGAGACGTTCTGATTAGTTTTTGGCAAAGTCAGGTCTAGCCGTTCCGAAGATACGGGGCAAAAAGTGCCGAAAACGGTAACTCAGTTTTTAAGAGAACGGAGCGTCCGATTTTAATAATTCAAAAAACATTTTACTTGTATTGACAAGGTGAAGAACCGATCAAATTATCATAAAGGCAGGTCTAGCGGTTTCGCAGATCTACTGAAAAAAGTAAAAAAAAATGCCATTTGCCGGTCAAAAATGATCATTAGACATATGCACATCAAATTATCAGATATTTCATAGAGATTTTAACAATAAGTATAATTTTGGTTTACATTCCTATAGGTTCCGTACCAATGTATACGCGTTAGACGTCGACGCGGCGCTTATGCGGTTTGATATTTCGTCTTTATGCAGTTAAAGCAGTACGATTGCTTTGGAAAAAAGTTTAGATCTTTCAAAATAAAGAAAGCTTTTTTTTTCAAAAAAAAAAAATTAAAAAAAAAATTTTTTTCAAAAAAAAGTAATTTTTTGTCTAATTGTTTGTCAAAAATCTTATTTTTTCGAAGTAAATTTTTTTCAAAAATGTTAATTGTTTTTAAAAAAATAATAATTTTTGGAACGGGAAGTTCTAGCAATTTGCCTTAAGGCACGTTGCCTTAATTGCCTTAAGACAGAATTCCACTTACAGCTAGTTTTAATAATTGTATTGATAAAATCGTCCCTATATTTATAGCTGAGCGCAACAGTAAGCGTAAGAGCTTCGTAGTAAAGTAATTCAGTTTTAACCCCGTGTTTCGCACACTCTGATATCAGGCAATATTGATATCCGTTTACACTTAAAAATATATGTCCTAACATATTTCCAAGTGAAAATGGATTTTCTGACCATTGTTGCAATATTACAATTAGATCTGACGAAGTTAGTAGTGTTTTGAAGTAAATAATTATGTATATATCTCAATTAGTGACTACCATCATTGGTTTTCTTTCTAATAGCGTACGTAATAATAAAAGTAATAAGTGTATTGTTCACAATAGCTCATAAAACGCCTAGTTCTGATTGCTGTGTAACAAAAATCTTATAAATTCTTATATAGTTCATGAATTAAAGCATGTATCAACAAATTAATATCCTATTATAATATTATTTCTGTCAGATAAAGTTTTGTCAAAAGTTGTCATTGCGAATATTATATAAACACAAGCAATAGGTTAATTATTATATGGTTAGACAAGATGATTTCTTATTCATGCAAATGGTTTAATTAATTGAAAGTTATTTATAATAATTAAGATTCATAAAATCAAACGGATATTCAGTTGGAATTACCAATATAAATTAATCTGTTAATATAATTTAGCGATGGAAACTAAAAAAATCTTTTTACTTGCCATAAGTATTGAAGTTACAACGTGAACATGTAATAATCTTTCAAAAATATTTTAGTTGACGATGTTGACCAACAACGTATTATATATATATATATATATATATATATATATATATATATATATACTTGTTTATAATATTTACATGTCCGTATGTTTACATACATTCAATCGCTGGGCTATACGTGTGGCCTTAAGAGTTTATATACACGGCGGAAATTAATTCAAAGTTAACTTGTGACATTTGTATCATTATATTGTATATTTTTGATATTGTTAAATAATGCGTATGAGGTAAAACAAAATATAAATTAAAGAGAAATGTACGCAATGAAATATATATATATATATATATATATATATATATTAGGGTGGTCCTTAATATGGACATTTTTGAATTTCCTTGCTCCCAGAGGCTCAAATGCCTCCAAACTCATAAAAAACATCCTCTTTAAGTTTTAGCTCTAAATATTGTCCTTTAGATAGAGCGCAATTCAATAAAAGTTTTGTATGGAAATAGCATGGGAAAATTTTCAAAGATTTTAAAAATGTGTTTTAGATATAACTTAGCGAACTGGCAGCAATAAAATTTGAAAATGTCTATACTGAGGACCACCCTATATATACATAAAAATAAATAAATATATATTAATAAAGTCTAATAATCGGGCATAGCATAAATAAAAAAACATAATTGTTTTTTAAGAATTTATTTTACATTCATACGTTTCGGCTATAATCCTAGCCTTCATTCAGTAGAAAAAATGGTAATCTTAGTTTGTTTTTAATTAACATTAACTTTGTTAATATATATGTCAACATCATTATATATATATACCAATTAAAGTTTACAAGTTTATTAAAACCATGCATTTAGGTCTACATTGAGTTTGTAATCGGGTAAACTTTCTCCTGACTAAATATTTTCTTTCACTCAACATAAAAACAAGATTGCAATATTTATCTACATATGCATATACTGAGCACATGAGTCGATGTAGAGAAAATGCTTTAAATTATGTAATACATTTTCAGGCATATTTTTTTAAACTCATTTCTATCTTGCGTTAGTTAAATCCAGCTGAAAGTAAAAAACATTTTGAGGTTCTACATGTCTTTCTTGGCATATCATTTTTCCTTAATTTCTACAACAGGTTTACGAATTTTTTAAACGTTTCATCATAAATATTTAATTATTGTTTATTTGCATTGAATGTAGTTATTCTGTATATATCGAAAAATAATTCAGAAATTATGAAGTGACCAAAAAGACTTCGTACATATATACATATATACACACACCCATATATATATACATATATACATATATATATATATATATATATATATATATATATATATATTTGTGTGTTGTGTGTGGCTGTGACAAAATTTGATTCTCATGTGAAGAATTATCATTGAAGTAAAAGATGGGTTCGTTAAACGCAAAACAATTGTCATGCATTATGAACAATTATGAAATTGTAATGTATACAAAACAACGTGTAATGCGAAAAGAGATCACATTGACAACACTTCCAAGAAATTGTGAAATTGTTTCCTTTTCAAAAGGAAGTTTGTTTTTGTGAAATCGCACCTCGGTGTAACTTTTGTTTTCGTATGTGTATGTTTCTTTTGTTGTATTCTTCAATATCCTGTGTAAGATATTTTTTAAATTATCACATTTATTATAAATTGAAATTATTACTTGCATATAAAATTATTTTTTTTATAAAACTTTACTTAAGCGTCTGTAAATCTCTATAATATGGTTTAATTTTCAAACTGGACTTATCTTCACGATTTTCTGTATAATCGAATAAGTGCCTGTGTATATATATAAAATATATTTAATTTAAATATACTATGAAATTATATTAATATTACTTTGTTATTTAGTCAAGTGAAATGATGATAACTGAAATATATTGATCTGAATCAATGCATGTTTGCTTTTTCAGAAGTAAGAAATAACACACACACGCATATATATATATATATATATATATATATATATATATTATAATTTGTTCACTATAACAAATGGTAATGCATTATATAAAGCCCGTATTATTTGCTGACCTTCTACAAGTTTTTAATCCGGAAGAAATTAAATGCTATAAAAACTTCCTATAACCAAATATTTAAAAATATCGACCAATAATTCAATCCATCATTTGTCAATAATTTAATGATAATCTCTCCATTTTCATTGCGATTTTTTGTAATGATTTTATAGTTAGCGCAGCTTTA